TCATCTGTTGTGTGTACATTAGAAGATCTTAAAATCTTCAGAATAGAATAGAAGGCTAACATACATTTCATGAAAACCAGAATCCTCTCTTTTATAGTACTTTGCCAATTACCATAATGTATTTGTGTTACTTTGTTATTAAAGAGCAGAGGAAGAGAATCAGTATTTCAGAGCAGACATCGTAATAATCTATACAGTACCAACAATTGAAACAACCCCCTGATTTGTCTTTCATAAATTATTCACTGACCACTGGGACAGGCATTGTTTTGTGACAAAATATGGGTTGTTTCTGCCAGGATGATTTTAACACATAGGGTTCAATAAACTGTAATATAGACAGAAATAGCATAAAAATTAGTTGACATCAGGGAATGACATTAACTTGGTAATCAAGGATTGTCTTCCAGAAGGTATATCAGAAAACATACAAATTAGTGGTTACGTTGGGAATTACAGTTTGGAACAGTTGGGAATTGCAAGAAAGTAAAAAGATGGAAAGTCTTCAGATAAATGCAAATATGTTTTCCTAAATGTTAACAAAAGAAGGTAAAGCAGGAAACTGCAGGACCATGTGGAACCCCAGTTAAGCTTATTTGTATGGTGACATAAACCCATTGGTCCTGATGATGTTTCGTAGAAATTAAATACTGCAAAGCTGTGCAAAGCATTTTAAATTTTAACACAGTAGACGGTAGTATTCTGCTTAGAGCTGAAGATCTAGGTAGGGCCCAATATTAAAGACAGTAGGGAAGCTTGGCCCTTTGTCTCAGACTTTCTTGGAAACCACTGTTTACATACAGAAGAATTAGTCAGTAAAACCCTTTTGTCTTGTTTGTACTGCCAGATATTTATGACTACCATAAAAGGGAGTATAAACACTCAGTGTTCCATACTTTGTTTCCATACTCAGTGTTTTCTGACTACACTTCATTCATTGTTTTGTTAGTCAAACAACTCTTATAGTGAGTTTCTGTTAAACACGACTGACCAAATAGGAGTATTGATGGATCTATGAATAGGATTAAAACAACAGTAAGGCGTACCTGAAGCTTTTATCTGTATCAAGACAGAATTGAATTATGGAGAAGTGGTAGCTGAACTAATTATAAAATAATACAACACTGATTTTTGATTTATGCTTTCTTGCTACTCAGTTTAATCTTTTTGGTATTCAAGATGTCCCATATGCATTTTTTTTTTCATTTGGAAATTAAGTGAAAGGCAAAAAAAAGTCCATTACATGGGGAAGCTCAAAATAATACAGGTACTACAAATATTACGTGCGACTACTATTGTAGTATTACAGAAATTATGCAAAAAGGCTGAAGTCCAATTCCTCTACAAAATTTAACAGCAATTTATAGAAGGTCATGAAACAAGGTCCAAATAATCAGTCAGAGGACAGAAAATAGCATATGGCTTCCAAGAGAGAATTAACAAATTAGAATTTCATTCTGACAAAGTAATATTAAAACACATCAGTAACATTGGGTTCTTAGAAGAAGTGGAAAGAGGAAATCTGAGATACTTTATAGAAAATTTAGTCTTAACTGACTTTTTTCTTCTTACTCAGTTGATAATAAAATATGAGCCTTTGTGTTTACTTGTATTTGAAATGTGCTACCAGTATAGACCTGAGACTTTCTCCTCTGCTAGGCAGTGTGGAATGAAAAAATCAATTAATATTTGTCAGTTGTGGCTGGCACCTGGATATGTTTGCACTTGTTTCCAAAAATGTTTAATTTCCTCCGCAGGATTTCACGTATATAATAAACCCTAGCCAAGACAGTTTCTCCATGTAATATATTATCTTAAAAACCTATTGCATTTCTGCCTTTTAGAGGAGTGTGAGAAATCAGTTACTGCAGGGTTAATCCTGAGAAATCCTCATGGTCACAATAAGATTTAGTTAATCCAGTGAGGGACTGCTTAAAATACACTGATATTGAAAGAGATTCTGTTATTGATGTTTTAAGACCCATAGAGTTTTTTGTTTTTTCAGAAATCTTGAAAAAAATGTATAATGGAAGAAAGTGGTGGAATTTTGGAAGGTTCCTATTGAAATTCTCTTTTGGGTGGGGAGTTGTTATGGCTATCAGAAAAATGTTCTTTGCTGTCAGAAAAGAATTGTATGGGCAGGATTAGCTTGTTCAAATATATACCTAGCAACAACTCTTCCATGAAGCTATAAACATTACTAAAGTCAGTCAAATGGAAATGAATTTTGCTTTGTGGCAGTTGGCTGGGACTGATTTTTTTCTGTTTTAGGCAGCATTATATATTTCTCTGTAGCCTGTGCGTTGACTTACTGTACTATGTGAAACTGGGCAATTTTGATGAGTATGTTTCCTTGCTTCTACCAGATGTATCCAATTTGGGGACAGTCAAAAATAACAGCAAGTATCTTTAAAACTAGCTTAATAGGGATTTTATTTGTATGGGTCTCCAACGAACCCTCCTATTCCGTAGAGTTGAATTAGGATCTTAATTTTAAACGTTGCTCATGATGCTACTTTAATTCTATCATGTTTCTTTTGTTCTCTTCCTCTGTAAATGAATCACGTTTAAGAGTATATTGTGGTTTATAAAGATTTTCTAAACTAGAACATAACTGGAGTTTTTTTGTTTGTTTGTTTGTTTGGGGGATTTTTTTGCAATGACTTCTTTTTGTGCAATATTTGCAGCCATTCCTTTTATTAAATGGGTGATGTAGTTTCTGCTAAGAGGTTAGCTTACAGGTTAACAGGTTCTAAGATTATACCTCAGTACAGTTTTCAGCTCAATTCATTGAGTGTTTGTCTAGAGTTAATATTTTTTTTAACCTTTAATTGAAAGGAGAATTCTGACTGATTGGCTCCTTTATATTGAATTATATCATGATTTCTGAGTTGCTTTATGCACCATAGATGATTTCAGCTGCTTGCTGTGAAATCTTCCGTAGAACACCCATACTTAAAATGTTACATGAATGTTTTTGGAGTTTTATACAACAATGTTGAAACAGTTGCTGTGCTATTGGTTGGGGTTTTTTTTATAGATTGATTCATACCATGATTACACATTCTATAAAGATCATTTGACAGTAAATATTTAAAAGAAAAAAACTATTACAATAACTATAAGGAATATAATTTCAAATGGCATAAACTACATTACCCAGCGATAGCTGCAATTTGGCAGGAAAAAAAAATGTCAGATAGAAGCACAATATGGTATTTAGTGAGCTATGTAATATTAAGCATGTCTGAGCATACATGCAGGCACTAAAAGCATTTCCAGGCTTTTAAAATCTGGCTGCTAAATGTATAAATTTAATAACAGTATTTTTATCTTAAAATACTTTTTAATCAGCAGTTTGCTTAACAGTACACATTGTATGGAAGAATAAACAGAACTCAGAGAAGGCTGTATAGTAGATATGTAGGCAAGCTTGGGAGCTACACTATAAATTGTAACTCGTTTTCTCCTGCTTTCCAGTTTTAATAATTCAAATGAATGAATAATTAAATCATTTAAATGAGGATGGTGCTTGGCCTGGTTATCTTTTTTAAAGATGTCATAGATACTTCAGATTTAGCCACAGGTACGGTGCATGATTATTGAGATTGTAGCTCAGTGGATATCAGTTTCATCATGAATGGATGAATTTGCCTAGAGGGGAGAGTGCAAATTAGAAGGGATAACTTAAAAAGATAGACGATTTCAGCTTTTGAACTGAATTTACTAATTTTTATTTTGAAATATTTAAACATGTTTTGGGCCTATTAATGCACACTATAAAATAGGAGCCATGGCAATCATTGTTTGCTTTGCAGAAAATATATTGGATAACATCTTATTATCATCAGATTTCTACCCTATGTATCAATAATTAGACTTGAAGTCCACTAATATTTTTTATCTTCTCATGACATTCTTATGAATTCTTGCTAGAGTTAATATAGCTGAAGCCAGTTGCAATATATTATATATATATAATTATCTATCTACCTATCTATCTATATATGCAATATATATATATGCAATATATTTTGTCAAAGTTCATCTTAACATCTGACAGAACTTCCTTTCTTCTTCCTTGGATTATCCAGAATTAACCTCATACTCTTAAACCATGGTCTTTACATCAGTATTTGTATAGTCTATAAGAGCCTCTGACATTTCTCAGGGCCAGGAGAGCACGGTATGAGGTTGCCTGCAGAAAATTACTTGCTTGTTAGTCTCTAGAGATCAACAAAGGCTAGGGACTGCTACTAGAAAATTGAGGGCTTTCACTACAGGAGAGAAGGGTTGTATCCTTTATGGTTTCCTATTTCCCTTGTTTCTTTGCTTAGCTTTCACAAAATGAATTCTGCTTATGTGATTGTATCCCAGACTTTTCATAAATTTTGGCAAGTGCTATTTCTGCTGTCCTTTTTTTAACCCCATTACGCTGATTTATCTTTAAATATGCCTGAGTCATCTTTCTATACTAAAAAGCCAAGACCCTATCCAATTTCTTTTTTTAAAGAAAGTAGTAATTATTCAGTGCTCTAAACAATCAATTGACAAATACACTAATACAAATTCAAATTATTGTAGATGTCTCGTTCGTATAAAACTGGGTATTATGAATATTTATGAGAAACGCCTTGTAATTCAGTTGTTTCACATTTACATTATTGTTAAGTATTAAGAGTTTTGCTGTTATTCAGGATATTAATGAGACTAAAAAAAACTGAATCACAGGTTGCGATGCAGATGCTTCTTTGTATTTTGAAGAAACAGCAAGATGAAATTACGCAAAACTGAGCATAAACCAAAAACATCTGTTAGGGAGAAAATTCCTTTTTTATAACTCTAATATGTTCTCTGTTATTGGACTAGGAAAGCAGTTAAACTTTTCTGCTACCATATTTTAACTACTGTTCTTACTCAGTACCTTAGTTACTCTGTAAATAAGAGAAAAAGAGCTCATGAAAGTTATGCTTGTTTTTTTTTTTTTTTCCATTTTGCAGATTGCACAGAGGAAGTATGGGGATTTCCCATGTGTCAGTACTTGAAGGATGAGGGCTGGTGCTGTGGTCGCAATGCTAGAATGTCAGCATGCTTGGTATGATTCTCCTACTTTTCTTTTTCCTACTGAGAGCTTTATCCAGATGTTACAAAATTCATTGTTTTTGGCGCCTAATCCTGGAGTCATGACTTAAATCCAGGACTCTACAGAATAACATCATTAATGTTGTAAGCATGATAAATTAGAAAAAATAGTATTGACTTTCCAACTTTATATATTTTAAACTTGCTGAAGGCATGAAAAAATGAGTACTGACAGAAATGTATTTTAAGAGTGGACAAAATGGCCAAACCTTTAGTGAAATTGAAACAAAGTGACTTCTCAGGGTAATCGTTCCTGGACAAGGACTTAGGGGAAACTAGGTAATTGTTGAAGGATTGCAATCAGTGACTCCCCCAACACTTTCATGATTCGTAATATTGAATATTTTGACTGTTTAAGACCGAAACAAAATTGCCTATTCCAAAAACTAGAGGAGCTTTACAAGCTGTGCAGCTTAAGAGCCTGGAAACGTCTTTTTAACATTACATCAAGAGATGAAATGCTTTTAAAGATCCAGCCTCATCCAGGACAGAATGATGAACTGCTATCTGATTTGAAAGAACAGATACATATCAAACATTTTAACCATGATTTAGGTTAGAAAACCAAGTAACTGCCAAGTAATTTGTTGAATTTTTATCTTCATTTTTACTATGGTGTTTAACATTCAGTTCTTTCCAACAGTGGAAAAATCTTTCACTCTTCTCATATTTGTAATTCTTTGTCACTGTGGATCATACAAATTAAGTACTGTCGTACCTACATCATGATTTATGGTGTGAAGAAGAATCTATTGTGAAAGCTAATGTATATCCTTTAACTGCAATCCCTCTTAAGTTTTTACTTTATTTAGCTTTACATGAAGTTCAACTTATGTGTATACTAGGGACTAAAAACATTTTAAGACGTTATACATTGAACTAATTTTTGCTTTAAAATAGTTGAATGAGCAAAATTGATTATATTTCTGTAGACCCAAGAAAAATGCATGTCTTCTTAGCGCTTTCACAAAACGTAATTCTCTTAAATTTTCTTAGAATACTAAGAAAAAGAAACAAATTTTGCTTACACCTTTTACAATTCTTTTGATTATCCTTGCTTCTCTTAGAAATAACCTAAAATAACAGAAGCAAGCTGATTATGAGTCCCTAAAGGTATTAACACTTTAAAGTGTGCAAGCTCATGTTATGTCACACCATTAATCTTTTAAAATGTCTTATTCTTTGACTTTTGTACAATGCGTTTGTAAAATGTGCCAATAAAGAATAAATATATCAGCAATTTAATTCCTTCACTCCTAAAGGCCTTGGAGCGAGTTGCGGTTGGCCAAATGGTAAGTAATGTTGTTTATTTTTACCCTTCTGAGATAAAATCTGTTTTTCTTCTTTGAATGGTGTTAACCCAGTACCTTTTATTGAACTTGGGAATTTCTGGAATTTAATGCAGTAGCATGGGGTACATCAAATCCTGATAGATATTATGTGTCATCATGAAATTGCATTTTTATTGCTATAACTGTACTTAGTTAATCTTAGCTTTTTTTGACAATTAAGAGTGAAGAAACATAGCTTTCCATGTAATTGAACTATCTTAGTGGGAGTGATCTACTTCTGTATATTCAGATGCTGCTTATGTTTTACGTAAATACAAATGTACACCTGAAAGTTTTAAGACACTTGAGCTACTCTTCCTAACTTCTTTACTGATCTTTCACCAAATATATAAATTTAGTCCAAATGTCTTTCTGATATCCCTGATTTGGGTCACTCTATCCAAGTTTTATGTCAACTAATGTAAAAATAGAAATTGTTACTACAAAAGCTTGCATCTAGAAGAAACAGCATCATTCTCATTTTTAATCTCGGTATATTTTTTTTCTGTGAATACCTTACATTATTGTTATGCAAATTATCCTTTCTAGATGCACACCAACTGTGTAAATATTTAAAAGGCAAGATTGAGAAACCTCTTCTTCCCATATATTAAGCCCACTGACCTCAGCAGTTTTTCACTGTAGACACATTTTGCCATGATTTTTTTTAACTGACAAGCATTAACATTTTTTTTTGTGCAAGTAGATCTTTCATATACAAAGATACGAAGTTTTCAGTGTATTATTCTTATGAGCATAGCACTTTCTGCATGGTTCAGACTGTACTGTATGATGATTCAACTAGGGAGTTAGTCCTTTCTCTTTAAAATAGTTTCAGGTATTTAAATTGTTACATTGTGGATAGTAGAATATGGATCCAGTGCTTTTTTCCCTCTGTTCTTTTTCCTTCTGCCAACCTTTTACCTTTGAACTTTTACTTCAGAGTTTGGGTTTGTTTTTTCCTCACAGTCGTGGTTGTGTTATGATCTGACCAAAAAATAATTTTAACTTGGTGCAAGAACATTAGTAAATTCTCCTCTTCTTAAGGCTGTTATAGCTGATTTCAGAGAATACAAGCCAATGATTAGTTAAGGAAGTGAACACTGTTTTTGTTACTTGTTTTTGTTAATTTTATTGTCAGCTTTAAATCTTTGCTGTTGCATACTTTTTTGCAGCTGCCTACAGAATCGTTGTTTTATCGAGCTGTTCTTCAGGTTATTATAGAAGAAATTTATGGTGTCACGAAAAGGTAGGAAGCTCTGAATTCATAGAATACTTACCTGGTGAAGAATCTGATTCTTCATCACCTCTACTCTGAAGAGAAATTATTTCTTACAAAGAGAAAGGGTGTTAGAATCAGTGTCAGCAGAATCAGTGTCAGTATCCAGCACACGGATATTAAAATGCAGGATGCGTTTGTTCATTCTAAATCCACATCACAAAGCCATTTTCCTTGCTTTACCCAGAGCTGAAATAGGTCTTCCTTGTTACTGAATGCATGGAGAAAACATACGTTCCCCAGAGAACCCATAGCAATTCATTAAAAAGCGTATACAGTCCTTCGCTACCCTGTTTTGCAGAAGTCTGGGCAGCTTTGATATTGCAGAAGGCAAAAGGGCATTTCTGTTTGTGCTGAGAAAAATTGCTGGAAGCCCAAATGCTAGCATGGCTGTAAAGGGCTACTCACTGCCTGTCTATATTAGCAAGTACTGTGCCCTGGTAGGATGGGATTTGAAGAGTGAAACAGTTAGTGTTGAGGACCTGACATCCATACTATACTCTTGTGGAGGATTAGTTTGGCCAAAGGTCAAACTCTTGAAAGAAGAGATACTTCTTCTGTTTATTTGAAAATTGCATGGAGGATATAACACATGAAACCACAGTTACTAAGTTGTATAAAACTTGAGACAGATGATAGTGTATTTTATTTGTTAAAGGAAGTCTAATTTGGGAGAAGTTACTGAGATTATACTTTTGAAATAAAAGCAGTGCAGGCCTACTTTCAAGCCCACTAATGTGAGTTGTCACCAGTCAGAGTTGAACAATGATAGCGGCTGATTGCAGTTGAACAGCTTTATTGTTCTGAAGGTTTGTGAGATTGTTTTGCACTTTTTGAGATGTCAAGTTCTTGACTGAGTAACACTTAAGAAACACATTAAAACAATTAAGATAATGAACTGCAAGATCTTGAATCTTTAAGAATCCATTCTTTTTTTAAACTACTTACATACAGCATAAATCTGGTAAATCTAGTAATCTAATAAATCTAGGAAGTGTGTTTTATACCTTTGTTCCTGTTCCTTCTGATTGGTAGGGCAGGTGTGTGTCTTCTAATGCATGTTTTAACAGCATAATCTTTTACTGATTGTAAGGCTGCATCAGCCCAAACGTTTAAATGTGTCAGGATATTCAATCTGATTGTGAAAATTCTTTTTTTCTTTAAAAATAAATGTGAATGATAATCCTCAACGAGTGGGCATCTCTAGCAGCTAAAAAGCGTTAGAACTGCGACTGAGAGAAGTCTGTGTTGACCTCAGTAGATGTAAATTCTGATCCTTAAATAAGTGGAAAGGGTTTTTACTAAGAATTAAGAGGGGAACAATTTTAAAAGAAGATATTGCTATCTAGTATTTCATGGGAAAAATATTTTTCTTCTTACGTAATTGGACTGCATAGTCCTGAATGGCTACTGTAGCTGAAAACTTAACTCCTACACTGCAAAGCTGGAAGAGGAATTACAATTGGAGACGGTCAAGAAAGTGAATTCGGACCTAGCAAACACTTTGCATGTAGTTTCTCCGATATATTCTAAACACAGAGAAGAGATCAAATGTAAGTGACCTGTTAGGGCTGCATCTACCTATAAGGCTTTTAAGTTTTTGCCCATTATTGTACCACTTTGCCTGAAACTGCCAACATTTTTGGCTGGCTTCAAAAGCAGGCAACAAGTAGTAAACAGGGAAAATTCTGACATCACCTAGTGAAATAACAACTAACTGTGTTATCTGTAAGGGAGGATGAAAAAACAAGGTACGAAGTGATAGTGAAATTTTACTCCAACTTGGCATTTGCTTAGTCCACTCGTTCAAAGTAAGTAAATTATAGTAAATTGTATCAATTAAATTATTTATAAATTCATTACATTACCAATAACTATAAATTATACCATATTACGTTATTAACAATATATTATATAATTATAAAATTAGTATATTAAAAAGTAAGTATTATAGTAAGTTATGGAAGTATTACAGAATTATAGAAGGAAGTATCAGCCAGTGGAAATAAGAATTTTGTCGTTCGTACAAGGAAATAAAAATCTTAGAAGAGAAACACAAAAATTTTTCACCTCAGTTTTAGGTACAGTAATAACTATACTACAACTCATACAGCTGTACAGTTGCTGTATTTCAAAACTTCTTCAGGTATTGGCTAGCTTGTTTCATTTGACGTTAAGGGTGGAAAGGGGAAAATTTGTAACTGACTTAACAGTAGTAGTTACCCAGTGAATTTAGTTGCCCTGGATTAAAAATATATAAATTTCTGTTGTTGGAAATGTAAAAGTATGCAACTCAATGCTATATTTGCAGTGATCGACATGTTGGAAAAATGTTCTCCAAGTCCGCTTCCTTCTTAGACTATGTCAGAAAGTCTCTGAAAAAACTGGAACTAGATGATTCAAAGGTGAGTCACTAAATAGAGAGCGCATGTAAATTCTTGCATCCCTGTAAATTCTTAATGTCAGCACGATAGTGCAGCTGTATATATCTGAACCACCGAGTAGTTTGTATATTGGTGTATCAATATAAACTACTTTTTGTTATATTAATAGAGCCAATCCATATTTTATTTTTATGTATTAAAGACTTATCAAAACAGAACTGGATTGTTTCATTTTGCAGGAAATTGACTTCCACTTATGAAATCTTTAAAAGATACTGTTTTAAAATTACAGTACTCTAATGACTTCATATCATATCAATCCTTTTTTATGTATGGTATCCATAACCAGAATATTTGAAGGACTTTCCCTTATCTGTGAAGTTAGTCCTACAAATCTCCTTTGAGCAACAAAAACCCACCAGATACTCCATTTTGCACGTGCAGTCATTTAGAGGTCTTGACAGCTTTTTGTACATGCTAAGTCAAGTAGGCATGAAGAAATCCTTGTCTGTGCTGATAAGACTACATCCTGATAAAAGTAGCTGTTGCACCCTTTTAAATTCAGCTGAAATACTACCCAGTGCAAACAATGTGCTATTTTTGAGTTTTAAGAAGTCCAAAAAAATGAATAATGAATTACATAGTAAATGCTTTGACCCTTTTTTATTTTCATTCTTTGTGCAGCAATATTTTCTTGGTCCCTTGTTTGGAGGTCTTTTGAAACTGAAAAATACAAAGTTATAGCAAGATAGGCAATTCCGTCCATGCAGTATGTTTCTCTTACAATTTTGTTCCAAAGGCATTTACTTTTGATTTTAGCCTTTGGAAGTCTCCTTAGGTAGCCTTTTAAGATCTCTGGTGCAGCCTCTGCATATGAAGGACCTGATACTGTTTTCTTTATATTAATAAACATTAAGTATAAATATTAGGATTTTTAAATAATTTTCCTACATAAAGAAAATGTTAATACAAATCTGACATTTAAACTTGCAAATATCTTTCAGAGATTTTTTATATTCTTGAGTGTCTTATCTTGAGTACCTTAGCATTTTACAATACAACTGTTAAATTGGTCAACAGATGGCAACATAACATTAGGCCTGGGATATGACTCTGTGAGTCTCAAAACCACAACAGCTCTGGGAGAAGATGTTGTGAAATGGAGATGCTGGGGAGTATTATGTACATTATTAAGAAAATTAGTTCAAATCATACCAAAAGTAAGATTGGCAAGTACGCTAAATATTTAACTTGAATATTGTAGTCTCTGATAAAGCAGTGCTTAAAATGCGTAGTCAAAGTGCTAAATCACTTAAAATTTGCTAATCACATCAAAGCATGAACTAGGAGCAAAAAGGCAACACAAATAAATCACTAAATAAGTGCAAATGATATTGGAATCATGCTTACAGCATGAAGAAAAAAGTCTTGTGGCTGAATTTTCACTCTTTCTTTTAAAAGGATTATATTTCATTCTCTTTGTAAATTAAGTTATCTGTTTGCTTTTCTGTATAAATAGGCACTAACATCATGCAGTTACCCCAAGTGACAGTAGCTGCTAAAATGCTATCTGCCTAATTTTTTTGTATGATCATCAAAAAGCAACAGTGGATTGTTTGTACAATAATCAGCTTACTAAATTATGGATAAAACTCTGCTGGTAGGACTTCCAGCCGTTGTACATTCTTTTCTTCGAAACCAGTGAGCATAGAAACTTTGTTTCATTCTGTCTGATTTTAGAAGTGCTGCCTTTTGCCGGAAAGGGTCCGAACAAATGCAAGTTGCCCTGACAAAAACATGTCTGCCAACACTGATTCAAGCTGCACATGTTTGTGTGTGAAAGCTAAAGATATGAATCAAGTACACGCTCTTTTTTTTGCTTATATTTCTCCTCATCTTCATGTACAGCTGGTTACATACTGCAGACTGAAGCTTATGCAGATCTAAACAATATTATTTTTTATTTCCCAGCTATATTCAAATCTGCAGCAATATAAAAACGGTGCTCTTTAGATATTAGCTTGAGGAAAGTTGTTACTGCTCCCTTCACAGTGGTTCTGACATTGCAGTTTTCATGATGGAGTCAGCACAATATCTACACAATATTGGAGAATGTGTTAAATTCCTTTCTTCAGAAAAAAAAAAACTTCAGCAGCTAAAAATGGGGTGAAACTTAAGCACTTGCTCTAAAAGACAACAAAAATCAAAGAGACGTTTATGCAGAATTTGTTTTCTAATTCTGTTATTAAAAATGAACAAAAGAGCAGCTGTACTGCATAGACCAAATATCTACTCTGTCTCCAGCTGTGGCCAAAAACAGATGCCTGGGGAAGAATATAAGTGGAGGGGAAGCATATATGAATGATACTTACAGAATAACCAAAAACATGCCTGTTGTTCACAAAAACGGAGGCACCCGTTGTCTTCATGCATAAAGTTATTTAGATGATGATAAAAGACAACTAAGTAAACTTTAGTAAAATTGAAAATGTTCTGTTCGTAGTTTCCCAAATATGGAGATAAAGAAAGCATCCACTACAGAAAACAGAAGGTTAGGGAAAGCTAGGGACATAGTGTAATACAACCACAGAGGACAGCGACAAGAAATTTTCACATGGGTCTCTCTTTTACAAATAGAAAATGTTGGATATTAAGAAAAAAAAAAACCACAAACAGATGCCAGAAAACTTTGAGTCATATGAAATATTAATGCAGGTCTTTGGCTATGCTTATTAGAAAATTGAAAGTGAGTTTAATCTCTGCATGATAATAAATATATTCAAAAGTAAAGGGAGAATAACTCAAATATTTTAGGGAGGCAAACAGCACATCACTGGCAGAACTTGCTAGCTTGGCATATGTGTTATAGTCCTGGATAGTTTTGGTCACTGTGGCTGAATCTAAACTATGGGACAGAAACTTCCTTCCAAACTCCTGATTCACAGTGAGCACAACAGCTACTTCCTTTATACACAGCAGTGTCTCTGTTCCAGATCAAAGGGTAGCCGTGGTACGATTCGAGAGTTTTCCAGTCTGGACAAATGAGGAGGCAGGATAAAGAGTGTAGCTGCATAAAACATCTCACCTGCGTTGATACTAGCTTATGTCAATCTATGTCTTTTACTAAGTATGGCACTAATGAAGAATCTTAATGAGGTATAAATATCCCCAAAAGTAAGTTGCTTTGTGCTGTAGTTTTTTAAGAAAGATAGATTGTTTAATCCTGTCAGCTCTTCGTATGAAAAAGCCCCTCTTCCTCTTTTCTTTTGTGAGACTGGCATGAAGATTGGAGCCTCTTTGCTTATTCAAAATGACCACCAGGCCCATTATGAAAAGACTGTCAATCAGGAGTAAGTAACGCCATGACTGTCGAATGTATGACAGAATGTTCTCGTTTTAGGAGAACAGAAAGGGCTCTTTTAGAGTGAGCTTGATGCTTCATCGGTATGTTTATACTGTTTCTAGCTTCAGAACTAGAGGAATTACTGCGCGAGCCACGGATGCCAGCACAGGGCTTCAGGGGTTGGTGTGGATACACCCTGAAGCAGTATTTTATTCCAGGTTGCTTACTTTGTCATTCTGTTCTTGTACACACTATGTTGTATGGACAGCGCGCTCATTGTGGCTTAGATATGGGAGAAATTGTTTCTATTAGAAGATTTCTTTTCCATGTTATTCACTGTTTTACCTCCTGAAATGATCTCCTACTTGAACATGTAAGTGCGACTCCCAGCTTGAGAGAAGGAAGTGTTTATACTGTTCTTTCTCCTAGAGAAGTTGTGCGCTCTTACACTGTTAGTCTTGTTTCTTTCAAACAGAAATAGTTCTTCCTCTTGCTGCAGCTCTTCAGCAGAGTATATTTCAGCTCTGTTTATAGCTTTCTTGTAGATTGATTTAAAAGGAAGCCTTTTTACTAATGCAGTTAGCTACTGATTAGGACAGGAAGTGCTGCAAGTGGCATTGCTGTGATAAAGTTTGCCAAAGCAAAATGTTTTAAATCCTTGTATAAACTACTTTATACAAAATTTTAATGTGTTTCTAGTGTCTTTGAAGAAAAAAAAAACTTTCCTTAAATTCCCTTGTGTCCTGTACTTAACGAGATAAATCAGCAAAAGGTCTTTTATAGAGCCTGACTCTAAGGTGAGTTAAGGGAGAGAGTACTTACAGGGTTAAGGCCTGGATGTGTGGCTGACAGATTTGATTGGGATCCACAGGTCTAGCAAGGGTGACATTTCTGTTAATAAGTGAGAACCTTGGAGCTGTGGAGCTGTTTAACAAACAGACACTGGCCAGGATTAATTTGAAGTACAGTCTGGAAATAAGCATAGAACGCTACTTAGTGCCACATCTGATGGCAAGAAGATATACAGGGTTGGAAACACTTCTGACATCTGCAAAGAAAAGCTATTAGTCACTTTGATTTCATCTCATGCTGTACTCACACTATGGTTACCTTTATGGGCTAATAACATATAAGGTAGTTACTTTGTCTTAGTCAAAATACTTCACAAATCACTTAACTCTTTCAGATGTAGGTGTAGGCTGGGGAGATACAATAGCAGTTCCAGAGGTAGGGTCACCTTAAGCTTTCACATGCAGTTAGAAGTTTACGTGCCAGACAGTGAGTGTATCTTTGCAAATTTATTTGGTTTTGGTTAACCCGGCTTGCCTTCAAGTCTCCTGTGAGTGGTGTTTTCCAGTTTTGAACAGTCAAATGTTTGCACATAACCTGGGGTTTTCCCCCTGAAAAAGTCATTTATTTGGCTGGTGCCCCATATAACAACCCAAGATACGATCTGCAACAATAAACAGATGGTCAGTGCTGAGTTTCCACAATCCGTGTTTCCTCTAACCTTGACCAGACTTCTCAAAAACAGCTGCTGCCCATTTGTTTTCTTCTGATCCTGTGTTTTAGGTGGACCGTCCCACATAGATTTACAGCTATCAGGTCTAAACTAGTGGATCGTAAAGGGCACTAGACATTTCCGTGAGGTGTTGTACCTATCACAACAGCACTTAAA